ATTCACAATACAAATATCTCATAAAGAGTTTTTATCCAGAATATAGAAGAAATCCTTACAAGTCAATAATTAGATAACCCAAATGAAAAACTGGCAAAATACTTGAACAGGCCCTTCCCAGAAGAAGATACACAAATGTCAAATAAGCATATGAAGAAACATTTAACATTACCAAAGACATGCATATTAAAACTACAATGAGGGGAGCCTGGGTGGCTCAGTTGGTTGAGCATCCGACTGTTCATTTCAGCTCAGGTCATGACGCCAGGGTTGTGGGATTGAACCCTGTGTTGGGCTCTGCGCTGAGTGTGGAGCTTGTTTAAGATTCTCTTTCCTTCTGCCCATCTCTGCCACTCATGCTGTCTCTCTAAAACAAAACAAAAAAATGTTTAAAAATGAGAAATACTATATATACATCCACTAGTTAAAAAAACAATGACAATATCAAGCTTTGACAAGGATATAGAGCAACTGAAACCTTTAAATACACTGCTTGTCAGAATGCAAAATGGCACAGATACCATGGGAAAGTATCTGTTTTAGTTTTCTGTAAATTTACACATAACTTACCATAAGATGCAACAATCCTACCTCCAGGTATTTAACCAAGAGAAATGAAAACACATATCTACACACAGACCTGCAACATATGTACACAGCAGCTTTATTCATAAGAGACCACAACTTAGATGTTTATCAACAACCTAGATGTCCATCAACATATATGAATAGCTACAAATTGTGGTGTATCCATACAACAGAATAATACTCAGCAACAAAAATAAAACATATTGCCAATATACAAAATAGCATAGATGAATCCCAACATGGGTGGATTTCAAAAGTATGCTGAACAAAAAGTGTCAAACACAGAGTAAATATTGTATGGTTTATTTGAAATTCTACAAAAATCAAATCTAATTTACAGTCACAGGAAGTATAGTAGTTGAACAGTACTGGTTGTTGCAGTGGAGAACAACTGACTGCAAATGAGCATTAGAGAACTTTTTGGGTGATGTAAATATTCTATCTCTTGATGGTATTGGGGATTCTGTGGTTGTTCACATTTGTTAAAACTCTACAAACTGTAGGGGCACCTGAGTGGCTCAGGTGGTTCAGTGACTAAGTCTTGATTTCAGTTCAGGTCATGAACTCATGGTTTGTGGGATCGAGCCCCACATCAGGTTCCACACCAGCAATGTGGAGCCTGCTTGGGATTTTCTCTCTCTCAAAAAATAAATATTAAAAAAAAAAACCAAAAAACTCTAACTGTAGACTTATAACATAGGGTGCATTTTATTATATGTATATTACACTTTTAAGAAAGTTGGGGCGCCTGGGTGGCGCAGTCGGTTAAGCGTCCGACTTCAGCCAGGTCACGATCTCGCGGTCCGGGAGTTCGAGCCCCGCGTCAGGCTCTGGGCTGATGGCTCAGAGCCTGGAGCCTGTTTCCGATTCTGTGTCTCCCTCTCTCTCTGCCCCTCCCCCGTTCATGCTCTGTCTCTCTCTGTCCCAAAAATAAATAAACGTTGAAAAAAAAAA